TGTTTTTAGTAGGAATTTTTATCTCTGACCATTTATGCTTTGTTCTTATGGATTTTGCCCGTTCTTATTGTGTTTCTTGATCAAGCATTTGGCTTTTTTTTATGTACAGCACTTTGGTTAGCTGCCATGCTATTTTGAAATGGTGCTTTATAAATAAATATGGTATGGTATGGTAAACAGTAAGACACCCAACAGGTAGCGGCCGCCAACTCTGAAGCTGCAAGTGTGGTATTCTGGCCACAGGGGGCGTGGGGGTCTGAGGGACATTTCATTAACTAAAGGGTCATTTCAGCACATACTGGCTCCAGAAAATGATGTCAAAACATAATAAAGTTCCATAGGGTGCCTTTAAAAACAAATAACATTTTAATATCAATTCGGTACCTGACCGAGAGCCAGTGATGGGCAGATAAGCTGGTGAAATGTGGTCCATTTAAAACACGTGCCGCAGCGCTCTGGACAGCTGCAGGTGTGAAGTCAAAGACTGGTTGATACCTGCGTACAGGTCACTACAGTAGTCCAGTCTAGTTGTCACAAAGGCATGATCGAGGACCTCGATAAGAATGTTTTTACCTTCGCTAGACGTCTCAGATGGGGCAGAACTAGCTCTTACCACCCTAACCACAACAGGTAAAGGTAAGAGCTTGTTTTATGCTGTTTTTCCACATGAATACTGGTTTTACGTGTTCTCTTCTTCTACCAAGAACCCATAGCAGTAAGATACAGCCTGACCACATTAAGGTAATTAAAGGAGGGAGCTTTACACAAGAGTTTAATCAATTTTTTCCACTCACCCTGATCAAAAACCCAGCTCCTCTGATGGTCCGTCATTAGAGTGGCCTCCTTCATTAGAAGGCCGGGTCTTTCTTCAACAGCAACGCTAATAAAAAGACATCCATCTTCTTCAAGGGAACATGCAAGAACATTTCAAATCTTCCTGAACATGCATTTGGATCAGATTTGACATCCTGAAGGAGCACTAATGTAGAAATCCTGAGGGGATAAATTTAGAGTTTCGCCTCAGTTCCAGCTAATGAGACATGTGGCACGTCGTGTGAACTATCAAACTACAGCTCGTCTCACAACAAGCTTGACAAAATAAATTTAAAAAATCTGTTTGCATTTGTTAACAAATATGAAAACTGATTCAACCTTTACATAAAATACACTAATTATGTCATTATCTTGCAGGGAGCTACAACAGAAGAAAACACTGTCAGCCAACTCTACAGGGAAGCTGACCTGAAGAGAATTGAGGCTCAAGTACAAACACACACACACACACACACACACACACACACAGCTCTCGTGCATTGTTAAGTCCATAAAAGCGGTGTCCCATCAATCCCCTTCACTCATATGGCTGAAGCTCACGGATGTGCAGGGACGTTTGTCCGTGCTGAATGGGGCACGAAGGGAGATGAGCGTACAGACAAGAAGTCGGATGAGAAAGCGTGTTTAGGTGAATTAAAAAACAACATTTAATCAACACGTGCGCACAATGTAATGTTTTAAGTTTGCTCAAATAAATGAGGAGCCTTTTGTGGTTTAAAGTTAATCCAAACATCTTATTGGCGACTCAGAAATGGGAAATAAACCGTCTTAGGTCGTTCGTTTGCATCAGCTTTTATTGCCTTGTCATCGTCATCTTCCTCCGCTTATCCGGGTCCGGGTCGTGGAGGCAGCATCCCAACTAGGGAGCTCCAGACCGTCCTCTCCCCGGCCACCTCCACCAGCTCCTCCGACAAGACCCCAAGGCGTTCCCGGACCAGATTGGAGATGTAACCTCTCCAACGTGTCCTGGGTCGACCCGGGGGCCTCCTGTCGGCAAGACATGCCCGACACACCTCCCCAGGGAGGCGTCCAGGAGGCATCCTGACCAGATGCCCAAACCACTTCAACTGACTCGTTTCGATCCAGAGGAGCAGCGGTTCTACTCCGAGTCCCTCCCGAATGTCCGAGCTCCTCACCCTATCTCTAAGGCTGAGCCCGGCCACCCTATGGCGGAAACTGATTTTGGCCGCTTGTATTTGTGATCTTTTATCTCGTCATGCTGCGAAATTACCTGAAAGACGAGGAAAACGTTCCCATTTCAGACAAACGCTACTGTGGCAGGCTGAGTAGAAGCCTGATTAAGAAGAAGTCTCACGGGGAAGAGGTCAGATGTGTGGCTCTATAGCTGCTAAGTGACAAGAAAATTGTTTTTCAGTTGCACGGGGACCTGCAGCAGAGAACCACACCTGTCCAGCTGCAAATTGCTTTTGTTGTTATAGCCGGCTAATGCATTATGCATTCATGCTGACCTTTCAGGAGGTGGACGCACAAAATAATCCATGGCAGTTCAACTAAAGCACTGTAATTATGTTCACTGCTTAATATTTGCTACCAGAGATTGACCGATATGGGGTTTTCTATTGCCCATGCCGATTTTTAGAGATGATAGTCAGCTGATGGTCGATATGTGCTGCCAATTTTTAGGGGGCTGACTTTCAAGGGCGATATCTAGACGTTTTCTACTTCACTTACAAGCTGAAATGTCATCAATAATAATAATCTTTCTGAACCTGAATCAGTGTTTGAAATAGAATTTAACTGACTGTTTTAAATATAAAACAGGCAGATACATTTCTGTTAACAATAATGGTAAACGGCATTTATTAATATGGCACCTTCCAGGGTTCTACAACCCCCCAAGGTGCTTTACAACTAACCAGTCATTCATCCATTTACACCCTCCTACCACCACCAGCAGGCAATGCAGATCAAGTGTCTTGCACAAGAACACAACCAAGAAAGGCAGGATGCAAACCTGCAACCTTCTGATTACAGGAGGGGCATTTAACTCCTCTGCAAACACTGCAAATGTTTTAAAGTCTTTGAGCAGCAATTGTTTTTTTTTTTCTTTGTTTTGTTTTTGTGGAGGGGGTGTAAATAGATATATTTAAAGGTACAATATGTGATAATTTTACAGTGAAATAATCACAAAACAGCCTAATGCCTCAATCATGTTGGAAGGAAGGTTGAAACCTCAGGCAAAACACTTCACCCTCCTTGCTTGCTGGTGGCTGGAGCCACCGGTGGCGCCAGTGTACGGCAGCCTCTCCTCCATCAGTGCTCCCCAGGGCAGCTGGGATGTAATAAAATATCGATATGGCGATACGTCGTGATTCTTTTCCTCTGCGACATTATATCAGTATTCAAAAGCAGTGTATCGAATTTTTGGAAGAACTTCCATGCAAACATTTGTGTATTTTTTTTTCTTCTTTTGGTGCAATTCAAACGCCTACTGCTAGTTGGCATCGGTGTGCATTGGGTATTGTTTCCACCATTTAAATAAAAATCCCTCTATTATGATTCAGATACCTCGTGTTAAATATGTTACGTGTGAGTCTAAAAAATAGCAAATTTCAGTGATATATCATATCGTCTCCCCGTATTTCACCAATACACATCCCTAGTGGCTACAGTGTACACCATTGTATGAATGTATGTGTGAAAGACTGATTGTGTTGTAAAGCACCTTGGGGGGTTGTAGAACCCTAGAAGGTGCTATATCAAATACAGGCCATTTACCATTTACCATCCTAAGCCACTAACAGGAGTGACCCAGAAGTTATTACTTGTAACCCTAAGAAGCCAAGGCATCTTTTTGTTTTAATCGAGTAAAGCAGGCTAGAAGCTAACGTTGAGCTAACAATTGTAACGGTGAATTAAACAACAAGGTAAATATCGGCCAACCGATATGCTGGTCTTTCCCTGTTTTTGCCACAATCATGATGAATAAATAGAACATTTAGCTAAATCCTGGACAAAAGCATACATGTTTCTGCATTATAGTCCACTATGCGGTTGTAACGCGGCCAAGGCTATGTAATGCTAATATTATTTGTCCACTGCCGGTCTCATGGGCTGCACGCTGATGAACCAGGCCGCGCTACACGATGCACTTTTCAAGTCCACACACACACACTGCCGTGTGTGCCATTGAAGAAAAAGACAGCTGACCGTTACTGCCTAAAAAGCCTTTCTGTGTTACTGAACAGGTTGTGAGGTGCACTGAGGTACAGATTTGAGACAGAGGGTGAACAGCAATAACTCCGTGGAGCTTCCACAGAATTGAAATAAAAAAGGTCTCCTATTTTTAGTGCCTCTCTGATTATGTTTGACTATGTGAGTGCAGGCGGCCAACACTGTGCGTGCTGAGTGCCGTGCATTAGCTGTGGATTCTGAAGCGTTTCCAAGTTCCTTTTGTCACCGAACAATAGGATCAACTGCAGCTGAAATATTAACAACCAGCACTGAAAGTAAACATGAATTTTACTGTGAAACATAACTTTTTACATTTCTTATTTTACTGTTTCCCCAATAACTGACATAATTTACAGCTTTATAATAAATAACAATATTAACAGACACTCTCACTGCATGGCATTTTGTAACATATTCACATGGATTTGTATACTTTTCATGAGTCTTGGCAAACATTTCACTCATCAACCACCTTCCTCTGTTAAGCTACAGGGAGCTCCACTCTCATTCAAGATTGCCAGCTCTGCATGGGCACACTGCTCTGTCAGACAGTCAGTGAAGCTCATCCACCCACAGAGACTACAGTCAGCATGGCGTTTACAGTATTATGTGACTGTGCACAAAAGGGAAAAGTCTGCAGGTGATCAAACGAGATGCATCTTTCATCTGAGAAGTTACCCCAAGGCAAAGAGGCATTTCTTCTGCATAAAAATTATCCTTTTTTCCAGGATGACATTGAAAGGCTTCATGCAAGTACAAGGCATGCAAAAATGTGAATGTATTTTGATATTTCTGTCTGGTTATTTTAATTCCATTTGTAATTTATCCTTGCACAATTACCACTCTGCAGCCAAACCGCACACCCATTTGTCACTTACACTCATGCATAATGTATTTCCCATTATTTACTGTAACATTATTTATCATGCGCTGAAAAATCAGGAGGGAAAATAAGAGCGAGAGGAAATTACCTTTTTCAGAACTGACATTCTGGGCGGATCCTCCTCCTGCAAAGCTCGCTCACATGCTGAGGTCCCAAGCCAAGTTTGAAGGGTGCGCAATTCTCAACTCAGCCCGGTGCTGGTACTGAAACATGAGGTACCTGCTTGGTATTCTCATCTCGATTCCACCCCGTCCACAGCTGGCTTGGTGTGCGCACGCCCCGAGTTGTTGTTATGGCAGAATTCTAACACATGGTGCGCTCTAGCTTGATAAATCACACTTTATGGTCCAAAGTTGGAAATCTAAACCTATTTTGATGTATCAAACAAATAACATCAATATGCCGAATTTAAGAACATTTTTAACCGACTTTGGTATTGAATCGAGTCAAAACTAAATCAATCTTATCTGTTTGAAAAATCAAGACAAATAAAATTTGCGTTAACTCTGGGATTGGCGCAAAGAAATCATGTAAAAGCTCCTCAACTTTAAAATATTATCTAAAATTAATCAAGCCGATTAAAAAATCGACTTAGCTAACCCGTGTTATGCTCAGAGATAATATAATAAGGCTTTAATCTGTTCAAAAGACACAATTCACATTAAATTGATTTGGACTTGCATAGAGGTTGGCGACGAGGTATCTATCCCCAGGTTCACGTGTGTAAATGAAAAGTGGTGCGGAGGAGAGCAGGGGCGCTTCTGTTCCTGTTGAATTTGTTAAACGTTTTTCTGTATATAATAAACAATTTAATAAGAACAAATTTAACTGCGTAAGTATTATCAGCGTGTGATACCTAACCCAAACCCGGATGTGAACCAGCAAGAACGAGTTTTATCATTTTTACTGCAAATTGGCCACGGCTAACATAGCCTAGCTAGCTTTCTAGCTTAAATGCTAGTTGTCTTGAGCTCTAAAATTTGTCTTCTTCACCTCATATGTTGGATATGTTGACATGGCACACAGAAACCAAGGTGAGCACTACGCATTATCCACTAATATTTTAAATTCATGTAGAAACATCTAAAGTTTACACGCTTGTTTGCTAATGCTATTAGCTGGCTCACTGTTTTGCTAAGGCAGTGATGGTCCTCGAGGGCTACCATACTGCATATTTTAAAGGTTTTTCTGCTTCACACCTGATTTTAATTTTAATGAGTAATTAACAAGTAGATCTTGGCATGCCTATTAGTTAATTCAAACATTAAATCAGGTGTGTTGAAACAGAAACCGCTAGAAAGTGCAGGCTAGTGGCCAGTGTGCTAAGCTAAATGGCTTTCTTGTAAACAAATGCACGTGCTACTATGTCTGATAACGCAATAAAGGTTTCTGATCTCTAATAAGGAACAGACAGTATACATTTAACAACAGAATGCTAACATGAAACCCATGAGCTATAGGGAAGATAAAATTAAGAAGATCTTTTGAGAATTTCATTCTAAATATAAGGCTAGTATTAAATTTAACAATATAGTTAGGATACATTTCATGTCAAGCTTACAGCATGCAGTGATGTCTAGTTTTTAGTTTTTGGTGTTAGACTTGCAAAAATGCATACATACAAATAGCATCATTATAAATAACATCATAGACAAAACTATTGAAAAGCAGAATCACTCTGGCCTCATTTAAAATACAGAATTTGATTCTAAAGAACAAAAACAAACAAAACTGAGAGACTTTAAACGCATATGCCCCCCCATACAGTGTTTCAGTCAAAAGTTCTCCAGAAGCTCTATCCTGCATCCTCCATATTAATAAAGGAACACAATCCATCACCTGTCGCCGAGGCCCAAACATCTACTGGCAAAAGAAAAGCCTCTGAACAGGACTCTGTGTCAGGTAATGTCACATTAACTCAGGTGTTATCACACACATGCACTGTATCTGAACTGAAGTTAAACATGTTTGTTATATTTTTGGGGATGTAGGAAAGACGCAGGATGCAACCAGTCATCTCCGCCGGCTATACACAGTCCTGCCTCCTCCCCCAGACTACAAAATGCACTTGAATAAATCTGTCGCAGCTCCACAGTTTGAAAGCGTAAATAGTGATGAGGATCCAGCTGGTAAGACAACAATAAAGTTTTTATTTTATGAGCTTGAGCTACACGCCATTTAGCTTGCAAGGATTTATCGTCAACACCGTTATCTCTCCTGGGTTTTAAAGTTGCTGATTGTTTTGTTAGTTAAGAGAAACAGTCTTTGAGCATCTTGTGTGTTTGTGATGAAAAGCTTCTAATGTCTTAGTTTCTCAGATTATTTCTGCATAAAAACACTGAGAGTGATTTATATGAGCTGATGATGTACTTTGACCTAATCAGTGAGCTTATTAATGATAAGTAGAAACTTTTTTTGACCTTTGTGGATTTTTTTATTTCAATGGCTGCATAATTCAAGGAGAAGTCACAAGAGATATGCATCAATTAACATCAGTTTGTTTTTTTTCTGGCTAAAAGATCACGCTGGTTGATTACTTATCTCCGTCCTCATTATCTTCATTAATGCTCATCTCAGGTTACCTTCCAGGTGCTTACTAGTGAAATAAAAGTTTTCTTGTTGATTTGCACAAGGCAGCAAAGTCGGAAGCCACTGAAATTAATGAAGAGTTTGATAGTTGTGTTTTATATTGAGCACATTTAAATTGTGAATTAAATTTGAATTTAAGTAAAAGTTTTAAATATGAAATCTGAATTAAAATAAATAAGAATATTTAGTCAAATTAAAATTAAAATAAAAAAATCTTGTTTAATAAAATTTAAAGCTGAATAAAAATCAAATACACTGAAATGTATTCAAGTTTAACAAAATTTTTGGACTAAAGGTGTTGAATGTGAAATAAAATTGAGTTAAAATTAAGTATAAACATTCAAATAAAAAATCTAATTAAAATCTAACTAAAAACATTAAAGGGACTGTAAGGAAGTTTGAAGTTTTTATGCTCGCGATCGCCACTCAGGCATAACTGCAGCTTCAAAAGTAAGCTCGTGCATGAGGTGTGCACGCTGTACGTGCACACTCCTTAACGAAAATAACAGCTGAGACAGTCGTGTGTGTGTGTGTGTGTGTGTGTGTGTGTGTGTGTGTGTGTGTGTGTGTGTGTGTGTGTGTGTGTGTGTGTGTGTGTGTGTGTGGGGCCTGGAGGACAGAAGAGCACAGCAAATTAATAAAGATAATGTGCCTCCGTCTCTGCAGCTGCACTTTCGGCCGGCCGAACGTGCAGTGTGTGTGTGTGTGTGTGTGTGTGTGTGTGTGTGTGTGTGTGTGTGTGTGTGGCCCGGAGGACAGGAGAACACGCTGCTAATTAGCTAAATAATTTTGCTCTGTACCTTTCTCTTCTGCACAGCCAACAAAGGTTTAAGATGTGTCAGTCCTCCTGCATGCTCAGATAATTCAATCAATTAATCAATACTTTATTAATCCCAGAGGGAAATTAGAGTTTCCTTTCCCTTCCCTTGCTTGAAAAATTGTTCCAAAATGAAAGTTGAACCCACATCTTTTTTATCCGTGAATTCAGTGCCGTTCGGCGAGTCTCAAATAAAAATTTGGGCATCTTATTACTGTAAAAAATATATCTTCAATGTAAAAAAGAAACTCAAAATGGCAAATTATGTTCACAACTGGAGTCGAACCCAGGTCTTCTGCATGAGAGTCAGACACCTTACTAGGTGAACTAAAGCGCCAGTGACATTGGACTTGTCTGTAAAGTTTATATCCTTGATGACAGCTGAAACAACGTTCAAAGAACGGTTCGGAGCGAAAATGGCTATTTTGTTGCTAATTTGCAGGAAATATCTAGAAGAAAGTAGCTAAGTGTCCTCAGAAATGTAGCTAGGTTCATCACTAGGCGTTAGGAACAGATTTTAAATTGGGCACATTTTTGGACTGAATTAAAGACGGCCTACGAAAGTGTTGATTAAATAAAATTTTGTTTAAATAAACATTAAAAATTCTGTTCTTTTTTTATTAAATCACAGTAAAATAATACAATAAAAATAAAAATACATGCTTAAACTCCTGGTGGATTCAGTCTGACTCAACATTTAATTCTATTTTAAACAATTTGCTTTGTTGTTGCTGGCAGGTGAACTCCATAACAGCAGTGAAGAAGTGGATGAACAGAATGAAGCAGATGAGCCCAAAAGGAGGAAGAGAAGAAGGAAAAAGAAGCAAATCTCCTCTGAGGACTCTAAGGTTTCCAAAGCGCTGGTCGGCGAGTCCAGCACCGGTCCAGGTCAGGTGTCTGCAGACGAAAAAGGAGAGCGCATGAGCAGCAACAAGAGGAGGAAGCTGAAGAAGAAGAGGCACAAAGAGAAGCTGCTGTCCATGGGTCTGATGCCCCGAGCTACTGCTCTGGAGTTCACTTACCAAAACCATAGAGAGGAGGAAGACGAGGACGAGAACAAGAGGAGAGTGGCTGAGTTGTCCGAGTTCCTGAGAAGAACAGCAGAAATCTACGTGTCTGACTGTAAGTATCAACAACTGGTGTGTGGTACAGCTGTGTCAAATCACGCCATCCTCAATAATATCAATGGAAACTGTAATGGCATGTGTTTCATCAAGGTAGTGTTGCAACATAAATTATATCAGGTGTGTTTCTGGGTAATGATTCATTAGGTAAGCCTATTATTCAGAGAGTTGTTCTAAAGCTCCGCCTGCCGTCATGCATCACAAACATCCCTCACCTGCAACTGTCACTGTTGAATTAGATGCTGAACCTGTTTAGCATCTTGTGTCCTCTCTGCTTCTGCAGCCTCGCTGCATCCAGACGCCCACCTGTCCGCCGTGGTGGAGGACCTTCTGGCCAGCATATTGAGTGGGAGCAAGCCCCCCTCGGTCCTGAAGCAGCTCTACGGTCTCCAGACTTTAGTTGAATTGAAAAAGGCAGAAAGTCTGGAAAAGTCGCTGATTGCGCTCAACAACAGCCAGATCTTGTCTGCAGGTGATTAATAACCTTTTTATCCCGGAAGTTTCAGACCAATTAGAGGCTTTTAGTCAATCATGCTTCATTGTTGTTGCACCAAACCCATCTCTGACCTGTCCCTGCAGGTTAATGCATGCCCCAGTCTGTCCAGGCTTGCCTCCTGCATGCGTTCCAATGTGAATATTTTTTGCTCACCTGTTTTTACCTGCCTATGACTAGTTACAACTGGAGCTGGTCTTGCTCCTAGTCCATCTCTCTTAGAGGTTACGTCCACCATGAGTTAACAAACATGCCTGGTCTTGTATCTCTTGCATCCCCAGACACCATCTCTCTCTACTGGTGTGTAATTTCAGCAAGGCTTGAGTTTGTTTAACTTATATCGCATTATACACTTAAAACAATAAGTGCACGGGAACAGCTGTGCTGTTGGAGCCACAGATGCGTACAAATGAAAACTTAAAGAGCGAGTCACCCCCAAATCTACCTTTTTTTGCTGATAAATTCTATAAAAGAGCGTCTCATCGTGCTGTAGACACGTGTAGTCAGTCATGTGGCACTTTTGTGCATCTTTGTTAAAATGTAAATATTCTGCCTAAAACCGTGAGTGTTGTACCCACTTCAGGTAAAAACTCTGCACCGCATTTTAATTTAACCCTTACCTCACATAAAGCATTTTTTTGTGCTGATACGTGTATTTTTGTGAATAACTTTGGCTATGTTAATGCAATTTATCTAATTTTTTGGGAGGTTGTGTATTTTTGAAGGAATTACAAAAAATAGTTAGAAAAAATCTTCAACTCAATCTTCAATTGTAACACTGATTTGATTTTGTCATTTTTTGTACAGTTTTCAAACTTCTGGTTTTGATCATAAACCTGGCAATAAAGGGGTTAAATCTGAGAAACACACACATATTTTATTATATTTTGTTAGAGCTGAAGCCAAGGGTGAAATTCATGTAAAACAGTTGGGACTTATGAAATATTATATAATATTTCTATGGGAAGCTTTGTAAGTGCATTTTGTTGTGCTCAAATTACTTTAACGTTAGAAAATGTAAACGTTGGGTAAGGGTTAAATCTGCCATCGCTATTGGCTAAGAGGTACACTATAGCGTTAGCAGGTGCATTATGATGTCACAATGTGTTGGTGAGCCTGTGAGTGTGTGTGTGTATGTGTGTGTGTTAGCTGCTAGGCAACAGCATGTGTTGCATTTTTTAGACAGGAAGTAAGAGTGGAGTAAAGCCTGGGTCACACCGGAGGCAGATGCGCCGCGTCGCGACCGCGATTTTAAGAAGTCAAGGGGTCACACAGGCTGCCGCTGAGCGCTTGTTGGAAAGTCACATGATAGTCGCAACATCACGCAGGACTTGAGAACAGGAAGCGGGAAGTCACGCTATTGTTTTTACGTGATCAGACTTGCCGTCATGTTTTGTGAGACGCTAATTCATTAAAAATGGGTAAGTACGCTATTTATTAGAATGTTTTAAGATCAGTAGCACTTTAAAGTTATGAAAACTGTGGCTGGGTTTGTGCCATAAAGCCGTTCTGCGTTGTAATGTCTGATTAAAAGTACTCCACAATGTTGCAAACAGCTGCAGCGCTTGAGATAGAGCCGGTGCCTATCTTCAGCGCCGCAACGCTTCTGGGACACGCCGCAGTGTACCCACTCTCATTAACTATGATGGCTTCTATTTAAAATAACAGTGCAGACGCGGTGCAGCGCATCTGTCTCCGGTGTGCCCTAGGCTTAAGACTCTGGCAGGGGGTGACTTGCTCTTTAAACGTAACTAAGACAAGCCTGTGCAATGTACATGGAAATGTTCTTACAGTTTACTACTGCGTGTGTATTTACAACTAAGAAATAAAAGTTCAGCAAGCGCATTTCCAAATACTGGTTTAAGTCCGGACCACACTAAATGTTTTTCTGGTGTTGCAAAGGGCTGCTTCACGTCACTGTGAGGACTCTAGAGAGGCGGCTCAGGATTTCAGCGAGCCTCGCTCTAGCTAAAAACGCTAACGTTACGAGCACACTTGTCTAAAAACATACATCACCAAAAGTCAACACAAACCCAAAACAGCAACAGTAAGAAGAGAAACGAGCGCTAAAACGTCTTTTAGTAGAGTCCGATCCGAACTCCGGACAGGCGTGGTCGACATGTTCTTGTGTGTAGCCTCCATTGCTGCTAATGCTACTCTACATTGTACCCATGTCACAAGTTTATCACGTCGCTCCCCGGGTGTGTTGTCCTTGTCGATTACAGACTGGAGTCATCGATGTTCTGACAAAGCTTCAAGTCCGGATTTGGTCGCGAGACAACGCTATAAGCTGTCATGAGCCCATCACGCTGGACAGCTCCAGACTCCGTTCATGATTTGTCTAGGATGGAGAAAAACACACAGCGTGGCTCTGGCTTTAGTTTTAGTAATTAGCATTTTATTTGTAAGCACTAGTAGCTCCAACACATAAATGCCTACTCCTGTGTATGTATTATTTACAGCAGGGGTGCCCAATCCTGGTCCTGGAGGGCCGGTATCCTGCATGTTTTAGTTTGAACTCTGTTTCGACACACCTGATTTCAATCAGCAGCTAATTAATAGGCTTCTGCAGAGCCTGATTGTCATGTTGCGAGGGTGTGGAGATGATGGACCATGTGTGGTGGAGAGTTCCAGGAGGCAGGAATGCAGGCACGGATAAAGTAAAAATGGGTTTAATGACAGGATACGGCAGGAACGAGAACAACACGACAAACAACAATGATCTGACAAAGACTGGCACAAGGAGGGAGGCATAAATACACAGGGAAATCAGGAACACATGGGCAGGTTAACGAGGGGCAGGTGAGAACAATAAGGGCTAATCAGGGCAGGAGAGGAACACAGTCAGGAAGGCAGGGGCAGATCGTGACACTGATGAGCTGCTGCACAGGTGTTTCAACTAGGGCCCGACCGATATATCGGCTGATATTGGGGTCATTAACAGTATCGGCTATCGGCCAAAAAGACGGCCGATATGGCCGATATTGCGATACCTATCCAGCAGATGGCGCCAGCTTTATGAACTCATGTGTGGCTTTGCTCCTTTGAACTTTAAACACAAATGATTGTTTTGGAACTTTTTTTTTATTTTTTATTCTTATTTATGTTACTTATGTGCAATTATTTCCTGTCCAGGGTGAATAAGTTCACCAAGTTTACTTCCACAGAGTGTTACTTTGTTACAAAGCACACGTATTACGTTTTATTTATTGCTGCATTTTTATTATTTTAATATTCTCATCGGGATCTTCTGTCCCTAAACTTGTGTGTGTTGTTAGATTCCCCAGAGTTAGCCATGTCAGAAAAAACATTTTGTAGCCCGTTGTTTTAGCATAAAGCAATGGAAGCGAAGGCTTGCATTCACCTACATAAAAAACACTACAGTGTGTGTGAATTCACTTACATTGTTTTATGCTAAACTAAGAAACCCAACTGCTGCCAGATCATGTTGGGCTGGTTATAAAATGCTTTTTCTGACTTGTCTAGCTCTGGGGAATCTTAACAAGACACAGTTTTACTGAGTGGTGGAATATTCCTTTAAGTTAAAATATATTTGTGGAATCCACAGTTTACAAGAAAAAACTTGAGTGTTAGATTTATGCTGTGACTGAGTTTGTGTGTTCTGTTGTTTTTTAGATCTGCTAAATAAATCGTAGGCCCTGTCCACACGTAGCCGGGGAACTACCAAAACGTAGATATTTTTCTACGTTTTGGCCTGTCATCCACACAAAAACGGAGTTTTTTCACACGAAAACGGATCTTTTTAAAAACTCCGGCCAAAGTGAAGATCTGCGTTTTCTCCGTTTTGGGTGTCTGCGTGTGGACAGACAAAACCGGAGTTTTAAGGTCCGCAACGTCACTTTCCGCAACAAAAAAATGCTGACATCACGTGTGCGACCTGTGTTTACACTGGCCGACAGCATGGATGCCCTCAGAGCTGCGCTCGCTTTATCAATTGTCCAAGCGCTTTCTGCTTGTTTGTTTTTGCAAGAGGAATTACTGCTCCTTGCGGAAGACCACAGACGAAGGACGAGGTTAAGAACGGGGGAAGTACTGCCGCCTACAGGTCTGGCATGTCCTTAACAACGTATTTATCCGGGTACGTGTGGACAGTTTTTTTTTTAAACGAGGTGGTGTGGATGCAAGTTTTTGGAGGGGCGGATATTCGTTTTTAAAAAAACCCGGCTACGTGTGGACTAGGCCTTATTTGCATTACCCTAGTGAGTTACTGAGACAGTTCTTTGGTGTGTAATAGAGAAATAAGTTTGCATCAAAAAGGCAGAGAATGAAGGGTTTAAGCTTAAGAACATTTTTATTTCGTTTTTTTGTGAGGGAGATTTATCGGCCATTATATCGGCTATCGGCCTTTGTTAAAAGTTTTACATCTGTATCGGTCCCCAAAAAAGCATATCGGTCGGGCCCTAGTTTCAACCACTGAATCAAGTCTGTTGGAGCAGAAAAACCTCTGGACCTGCTGGATACCGGCCCTCCAGGACCAGGAACCCCTGATTTAGAGTTTCATTTTGCATGCTTTTTTCAAATAAGGTAAACTTGTCAGATTTTACAGTGTATGAAAGGTTGCACAAGAGTCGTTTTTTAAACATTTTTATTTTTGTTACATCTGACTTTATAGTTGTGAATATTGAACATGTAAATCCGCTTTACTTAAGCAGACTTTAGTGTAACCCACATTCACCATCGCACCGGAGCTAATCCAGGTGCGTGCGTTCTTTTAAAGCCCTTCAGGTGAATTTTCTCCAAAGTGCTCCTCCTCCGATCTACCCTCAAGTGAGACGATTCCTAAACCAACAGAGCACATCTAAATCTGATTTACTTGAAGCGTATTTTGGTTCATTTTAGGAATTTCTCTTCTAACAACGGCAGCGTTTGTGCTGCCCGAGTTTACGCTTCACAGGTTGGGTTGACCTGGGGGATGCAGGATTTTTGTGAGTTAGGAAGAAGGTTTTAAGGTCTTGATGTGCTGAAAATGTGACCGAAAGTCTTTGTAGGAAACTGAAGCTACTCTTTCTATTACAGAAGAAAGCGCTGCGGTTGTTTCACTGTTCAGATACTGGATCACAGACGTTCTTCCTTTACAAAGAGTCGAGACCACGAGGCTTTCTACAGCGTGAGACTCAGCCAGACACCTCTGAAGGATTATTTCTACTGGTTCTGAAGACATTTGTATAAATTTAATGGATTTCTTGTTTGTGTCTTGTTATTTTCTACTTTCTAAAATAAGAGCAAAATTTAAATGTTTACTGACTCTTCTTATTAAAAAGTTTTTAAAAATTACCTATAGTTTCACTTTCTGTCCTGTTATTATTACTTAAAGGTACAATATGTAAGAATTTTACAGTGAAATAATCACAAACCAGCCTAATGTGTGATGTTGGGAGGAAGGTTACATTAAAACAGATTTCCTTCTCAGCTGGCTGGGGGGTCGTCCATTTTTTTCTCCTTTCAAAAAGCTAAAGAAGGATTTGTTAGTGTTTGTTTACAGTCTGTGAGCCCGCCGGGGTTGAGACTGCCCGCTAACGGTGTTCAACAGTGTTCTGTAAAGATCCAAACCCATTCAAAGGAGCGACCTGGAAGTTATTTCTTGTACCCCTGAATAGCCACAGCATCTTTTTGTTTTACTCTAATATCGGGTAAAAGAGGCTAGAGGCTAACATTGAGCTAACAATGCTAACTCTGAATTAGAAACAAATAGGTCTTAAAAAAAGCTACTTTTCAATAACCAACAACTTGATATTACAGTTAAATGTGTTCATCTACTTATTACTGTATGACTCGTCTTTGCTCGTCATCCAGAATCTTCTGGCGCTGAGCCGTAGCTGGCAACTCGTTTGTTTTGAAAAATGTGCTGCAGTAACCCAATTTGACCACAGGATGTCAGTGTTACTTCATTCTTACATAACGCACCTTTAAGCTTTTGGAATCCCATGGTAATGTTTTATTTCCAAATGAAACTCACAAAAAAGGTGATGCAGCCCTTAACTGGGTGGGTTTTTGTCCACCCTGTAGGCTTTGGTGTGTAGGAAAACACTTTTTATCATTTTAATGTCCAGACTTTTACAAAAATATCTACTTTAGGACAGTAGTATTTCTTCTAAATCACAAATATGACATTTTTGTGGTCTGAGTGAACTTTTGACTTGAGGATTTTGGCTCTTGTCTTGAAGTTGGGACACCTCTGCGCTGCACATGCAGACATGATCAGAGTTAAAAATTAAAATTCTAATGAAAATTGGGTTATTTTATTTTAAATAAGACAATTTTCTGTCTGACAGACCTTATATATTGTGGTGAAATCAAATCAAATTATGCTAGAATATTTGCTAAATATTTTTATTATGACAACAAAGCTCAAAGAAAACATTAATCCTGTTTGTAATCTTAATTTCTACCTCAGCGCTCTGCTGTGCATTTGCGATCTTTCACATCCAGACTGATCCTACGTGTGATTCCATGAAAAACAAGAACATCTAGTAATCCAGACGTTTGGAGCTGTTATGTAATTTATTATTTACATCCTGAGAAAACTCAGTGTTGCTGCGTCTTTGCTGCTTCACATAGGCACCATGCAAGATTTTCTGCAATCACATTTATGGCAAGCATTTTAAAATAATCTTATTAGGTCTGAATAATTGCACGGTGCATGCATACTTGGCAGAGTTTGAACATTTATGCAGCATGTCAGTCTGCACATATGCCAAACCGTATGTCTCGTGAATAACAGTTGTTAGGTGACCAATTAGCAGATTTAAAAGAATGAATAAGGTCATTTTTGCATTGGACGAACCAGCTGGTGCACATTTACTCTTGTTTTTAAGGCAACAGCTGCTCATCTTCTTGTGTTTTTGTCCCATCTTATCATCCCAGCAGCCACTTGCATCCATCCAGCTCTGTCATCAAAGTGGCCACACACACCGATGTTGATCAACACGTTAAACCAGCCCCACCTGAGGAGTTGGGAGCTTAATGCTCCGTGCCAGCGGGATTCCTGTCTGCAGCTCAGGACTGCTATTTTCACGCTGTTTTTCTTTAGCTCCATGTCCAGCCACCGGTTCAGCGAAAGGCCAAACAATTGTCTGAGACGGGTGGTGACAGCTAGGCGACCTGAGCGAGAGCTCAGAGACGTTCGGGGATGTCCTGGGAATGTGACACACCCAGGAGGTTAGACGTTTTACAGTAAAACTCACAGATGTGAAGCTGGCTGGAGCAGCCGGAGGAGAAATTAAGGGCAGACGGCGTGTGGCATGTCTGTGTAAGATAAAAGAAAGGTGATCATTCACGGATTAATGCTCCACTTTTAGATGAACTAAAAGGCTCGAGGGATTTCAGGGCTGGAGCTCCACAACAACAAGCTTGTTGCTTTCAAGTTCAAACAATCAGGAAAAATGAGTTTTAATTTATGGAGATTATTTATTCAGTCACAGATTATTGGTCTAAATTCAAGCTTTAAATTCGCTCGCTGTAATATAAAAGCATAGACTGGTGATTAAACAGGCCACCAAAATACTCTTATTTCGGATTTGTAAGTGTATAATATTAGTATTTCTGTGTGTGTGTGTGTGTGTGTGTGTGTGTGTGTGTGTGTGTGTGTGTGTGTGTGTGTGTGTGTGTGTGTGTGTGTGTGTGTGTGTGTGTGTAAAAACTTACAGAAAGCACTTCCTTCATGACTGTTAACCTGTGGATTTATTAAATATCAGGAGGGATTCTTGATCTATGATTTGTTTTTTTATCTAAGCTTTTTTTCTAAAATAAAAAAATGAGTTGTAAGGATGCGTCGGTTCTCACGAGAAAATAAAAATAGAAAATCAGAACGATCAGGTTGTGTTTTTGAGCTTTTTTTTTTTGCTCAAAGTAGCAAATAAAAATGAAAATACTCAATCCTGCTGCATCCTTTTTGGACGTGGCTGTAAAGTTTTTGATTTCTTTGTCACATTTTTTCAAGGAATAAATGAATGAATGAATGACTTTATTTATAGAGCACATTTCCTGTACGACAACAACTCAATGTGCTTAACAGTAAAAGAGACTAAATAAAACAAACAATTATAAAATATGTACACCCTTAAAAACGATCTGTGTTTACATATTGAAATATACACATGAAACTAAAATCTATACATTCAAACATGCACACACACATACACACACGCACACAAACATTTATACACACATTTGCACATACATCCATGCACAGCCATAAAACGTAATTGTAAGGACTTTTTTATGAATAAAACCATCTCTATGAAATGAGGAAATAAATTAGAAATGAAACAACCTAGCCATATGTTTGTTCAAATAAAAAGGTTTTCAAATTTCTCCTAAAAATATTTGTTGTAGCTGCTTCCCTCTTCTCTAAAAGGCAGAGTATTCCAGATCTTAGGTGCATAGACACTGAAGGCAGCCTCCCCTGACTTAGAACGTGTACGCGGTATCACCAGATTGCCCTGACCTGCAGACCGGAGTGTTCTGCCCGGTGTATAAGGTACTAGCATGTCTGTAATACATTGTGGTGCATGGCCATTGAGAGCTTTATATACAAGCAGTAGGATTTTAAAATCAATTCGTTTTGCAAATGGTAGCCAGTGCAGAGATCTTAAAACAGGAGTAATGTGTTCAGAATTCTTTGTACCAGTCAGAACACGAGCAGCCGCATTCTGAATCAGCTGCAATCTGTAAATAGCGTACTGAGGAAGGGCAATTAAACGACCATTACAATAATCGAGCCTGCTTGTTATGAATGCATGGATTAGCTTTTCTAGGTCAGTTCTTGAGACGAAATGTTTCATTTTAGAGATGTTACGTAAATGAAAAAATGCTATTTTAGTTGTATGATTAATGTGTTTTTAAAATTCAGGTTACTGTCTAAAAATACGCCCAAGTTTCGTGCTTCATTTTTACATTCAAGAGACAGAGAGGCGAGAAAGTCTACCACTGTCTGTCTGTGTGCGTTCGGACCAAATACCAGAATTTCTGTCTTGTCTTGATTTAATTGTAAGAAATTTTCAGACATCCAGGCATCCATATCCTTGATACATTGTATAAGAGAGTGAAGAGGAGCTGTATTACCAGAAGACAATGAAATATATAACTGCAGGTCATCTGCATAATATGATAATTAATATTGTGCCTCTGAACAATGTGCACAAGAGGAAGCATGTACAGGTTGAATTATAGCGGACCAAGGATAGAACCTTGAGGAACACCACAAGTAACCACTAGTTTTTTAGAGTTAAACCCCCAACGGACATAAATGACTGCCTATCCCTAAGGTATGTTTGGAACCAACTAAGAACTGGACCGGAGAAACCAACCCAGTGTTCTAACCTCTCTAACAAAATGTCATGATCAACTGTATCAAATGCAGCACTGAGGTCCAGAAGGACAAGAACAGTTACTTTGCCAGAGTCCGTGCTTATGTGTAGGTCCTTAACAACCTTAATGAGAGCTGTCTCTGTGCTGTGGTTACTGTGAAAACCAGACTGGTAAGTATCAAAGATGTTATTTTATGTTGATCTGAATAAAAACTGCTTTCTCAAGAAGTTTACTAAGAAACGGTAAGTTTGAGATCGGTCTATAATTGGAGAACGCAGTTGGATCAAGGCCACTCTTTTTTTAACAAGGGTTTAATGGCGGCTATTTTTAGCGCGCTGGGAAACATTCCTGATTGAAGTGACAAATTAATGATTTCCAAAACATCAGATTTCACACAGGGGAAAATGTTTTTAAAAAGATTGTTGGAATAGGATCCAGGCAGCAAGTGGACAATTTTAGTTGTTTAATCAGGATATCTAGTGCTTTACCATTTAAAAACTCAAAATGACCAGAGTGCGGTACTGGAGTGCTGTTGTATGAGGTCATAATTGGATCTGGAAATATTCCGTCTAATGTTCACAATTTTATAGTTAAAGTAAGATGCAAATTCCTCACATTTTGCTAAAGGTAACATCTCGGCAGGAAGACCAGAAGAAGGATTAATAATCTTATTGACTGTAGTAAAAAGGACTTTACTATTGTTAATATTTTCATTAATAATTTTAGAAAAGAAGTCAATTATGCTTCTTTTCGTTTCTTCGTTGTACTCATAGAGTTGGTCCCTGTAATTATCATAATGAATTTGAAGTTTAGATTTCCTCCACCGTCGTTCTGCCTGCCGACATTTCCTCCTTAAGGCTCTGATTTCGAGCCCTTTCCTCCATGGGGGTTTGTGTTGTTTTATGCGTCTAGTTTGAAAGGGTGCAACTTAATTCATTATATTTTCCCATTTTAAATTAAAATTC